TTCATTGAAACAGATTTGTTTGACTTCAATAACTTTAGCCTTTTAAGGCTCATGTGCACTGAAAAACCTTGGAGATATGTGTTTAGTCTTGTCGCCCTTGATGAATCATTCCTTCATCCGGGTAACACAGGCTGCATTATCTTCATGGATGACAGTTGGAGTGTCTGTCTTTGAAGGTAGACCACATGAATTCCGAATATGATGGATTATTGATCTTAACCAAGAACATTCACGACTTGCTTCATGTAAAGTAATTATTTCTAAGTGATTGGAAGATGTAGCAACTAATGTATAGTGGGTATGTATGCCCACATGCATACAGTAAAATTTTCATATACTTAATAGTGTAATTTGTTTGTATTCAAGGTAGTTGCTCTATAAATAGAGCATTACGAGTGTTCAAAAGACACAACAAGAAAAGAAAGTGAAAAACAACTAATAGTAATAATTTCCATCACTTCCTCTGCAATATTTTGTTAGTGTAATATTTTGCAACAGCCTCGCTCATGTCCCTAGTAAAGGTTATCTCTTTAAACTTTTGCCTATTTATAACACGTGTGTGTAGCGAAATAAATAAACAAGACACAAAATTTACGAGGTTCCTTTATAGTCAGTGTGATTGGAGTACGTCCTCGAAGTAGCAGTGGTGCTTTCATTTATAATCTAGAGTAATAAGATTACAAAGATAACTCTCTCTATTCTCTCATCTCTTCTTCCTCTCTTTTCTCTCTTCCTTCTGTTTCTCTTTTCTTCGTATCACCACTATGTTTGGTGTGTGTTACATTTATATAGAAAACAGGAGTCGTAGGAAGCAAGCTTCGGCAGACAGTGGAAGACAGCCCTTATTCCCACTTGTAGCTTAGTGGATTAGTGGCCAACGTGGACATCCACCATATTTACAACACTCTTTGCTAGGGACAGGAGCGAGGTTGTTGCAAAATATTACACTAACAAAATATTGCAGAGGAAGTGATGGATATTATTACTATTAGTTGTTTTTCACTTTCTTTTCTTGCTGTGTTGCCTCTCCTTTTATAGAGGTATCAATTGTATTCAAAATGCACGCTTTGAAGATTGCCCGCCTGTGAAAATTGTCTCTGTTATATTTATGAGATTTCACCGTATCCAACCATTTTCTTTCATCAATTTCTAAAAATGCCTTGCCCATATAATGATCACCTTAATTTGATTGAGAGCATACTTCGTGGTTTGTTAGTTGTTTCAGGCAACTTAAGTCCTTTTGGGACTTTCATATATATGTCAGTATCTAATTCTCCATATAGATACACGATGATGACATCCAGTGTTGTAAATAGTGGGTATGTATGCCCACATGCATATAGTAAAATTTTCATATGCTTAATAGTGTAATTTGTTTGTTTTCAAGGTAGTTGCTCTATAAATAGAGCATTACGAGTGTTCAAAAGACACAGCAAGAAAAGAAAATGAAAAACAACTAATAGTAGTAGTATTCATCACTTCCTCTGCCATATTTTGTTTGTGTAATATTTTGCAACAGCCTCGCTCCTGTTCCTAGCAAAGATTATGCCCACATACATACAGTAAAAGTTTCATATGCTTAATATTGTAATTTGTTTGTTTCAAGGTAGTTGCTCTATAAATAGAACATTACGAGTGTTCAAAAGACACAGCAAGAAAAGAAAGAGAAAAACAACTAATAGCAATAATATTCATCACTTCCTTTGCAATATTTTATTAGTATAATATTTTGCAACAACCTCGCTTCTGTCCCTAGCAAAGGTTATCTCTCTAAACTTTTGCCTATTTATAACACGTTATCAATAATGCTCTATTTATAGAGCAACTACCTTGAAAACAAACAAATTACATTATTAAGCAGATGAAAATTTTACTGTATGCATGTGGGCATACATACTCACTATTTACAATAGTTTTAATGAATTTTCTTTGGCCGAAAAAAAGGTGGAGAGTTCGTAGAAAGTATGGGGTGTGTGTGAAAAGTTTGGTGTAAGTAGCGTTGGGTATGTGGGCAAATGAGAATATAAGTAGAATTTATTAAGAAAAATTTTAATTGAGAAAATAGGTGTAGGGTGCATTCAATTATATGTGGACAGTTAATAAATTTTTATTTTTATTTTTTATCTATGGATATTCTATTTAACATGTTAACTGTCACTTAGTACTATAGTCTAATGACATTCTTCTTCATACATAAGTAAGAGGTTTTAAGTTCGATTTTCGCCAATGATGAATTTGAACCATATTATTATGGGTTAGTCCATTGTGAGATTTAGCCCACTCTCCCACCCTTCTAACGTAGATATCATCGTTTGTTCCAAAAACAAAAAAAATATCACTAACATAAGACTCATCGCATATGAGTTGAATATTGAATTATATAATTCATCAAATCTCAAGGTATGTTAAAGTAAGAAACTACCATGGACTTTTGCATGATTCTCCTTTTGTGATTACATAAAATGTAAATACATATATAACGGAAAATTTGGTAAGAATCTCCGTATTGTTATCTATCATGAGTTGTGAATCGTGACATTTTCTTGTGTTTTAAAAGCAAATGTTGAGCTTTCAATTCCATTCCGAGATATGGATGGACACAAACGTAGGTGCGGCACCACTGGATTCATTATCGTTGAATAATTCACAGGTTTTTTTTTTTTTTTTTTTTTTTTTTTTTTTTTTTTTTTTGAAATTTGGGAATTATAAATCCCTGATCTCAAATCTCAAATCTCATCCATAAAAAAGGAAAAATAAATAAAACTAATAGCTATCTAGATCTCAAAGCAAAATCAACGCAAATATTCCCTGACAAATATTCATTTGTTTTCAATAATTTGTCAGTCTCACTCTTTTTATTGTTCCACTGCCAGTTTGGAAACGTTACTACACAAAAAGATTTTTTTTTTTTTTTTTTTTGGTAAACGATAGATTTTGTTAGTTTAGATGTTAGATTAACTAAAGCCAGAGTTTGAACCCATGACATCATGCAATGGCTCAACATCTTTCCATCATTGTGGTAAAGGATCATCACTTGCACACAAAAAGATTATTTACTTAGTGAAGTTTTCGAGGAAGTTAAAGTTTTATCGCAATATATTGACAATAGGGTGTTGATTCAACACGTTAGAAAAGTATTCTAATAACATAAAGGATTTGATATTTCACCATAAAACGTGAAAGACTCAACTCTAACTCCTTCTAAACTCATACATAATTTCCCAATTTTTCGATATATGATAATTATGATTTCACATTCCCAACAATTCTATGTTCGCCTCAGCCGACAGGGCCTGTATCAAAAGTGAGAGGTCATGTGGCTTGCTGGGCCTGCCAGCATGGAAGGGACACCAAAGTTGAAAACTATATAAGAAAAAGAACCGAAAAGAATTCCTAAAAGAAATGGAAAATATGGTTTTTAGACTTTAAAGAGAGAACTCAAACATGGCATCGAAAATGAAAGGAATGCCTTTTGAAACAAATGCATGATCATGCATGTAGTTGTATCGAAACGTGACATGCTGAGGGAAGAGTCTGAAGAGTTGTTTTCGAACCCTAGCGAAAACTGTTTAATCAAACATGTTTAAAGTGAGAAATGAATTGATAGTAGTATAATAGAGCTACTTTTAAGTTTACTGAAATTGTTGAGTTTAATGTAAGATATTTCTGAAATCATAAAAACAATAAGACATTGGGATCACAGATTTAATACACCAATAACAATTAACTTATCTGTAGAATACAGAAGGCACAACTCTTACAGATGATAAATAAGTATTCTACTCTCACCAAACGAAAGTGTTTCAGCAATGATAGGGTTTGCTCATAATGGAACGTGTGTGTTGTCTCACCAAGGTATGTACATTATATCTTACTAAGGGTTCCAAATAACCAATTGAAGTATCTTGATTCCATGATTCTTGTTAATCAATATAAATCACTATGAGAATCAAACTAATTGAAGATCAAATTATTTTCACTTTCAAGTTATTTGTTTTTCATAATAATTGACAACTCAAGATGAGTCTTACATGCAAAATTTCATGTCGAAAATGTACGTAACACCTCTTGCACCACATATTCCTCATTATTATGCCATGAAAGACCGACCAAGAACCTATTAATTTGTTGCTAATTGATTTTAAATTAGATGCTTGATTATATCGCAAATGAAAAAGTTTAGTGAATAATGATGAGAGTAGGGTTTGGTGATTAAGCTTCAATCATACTACTCTAACGACTCTATAAAGTATCAATCACAAAACGTCATGCAAAGTTCAGAGAGGAAAAGAGAAGTGATTAATTATGTCATGATTAATTATGTATGATCTGATTAAAGAGAATTGAAAATCGATGCCTGCAATGATGCAGCTCCTTTGCCAACGGCCCTAATTGATTCCAATAATTTAAACAAGAACATATGTTTATACCCAAATGAATAGCATTTCCTTTTAGGTTGATTTGCAACCAACCAAATAGCTCACATGCTTGTCACTTCCACATCATCTGTTTTTTTCCTTTCCATAATTCCAAGCATAAAACCAATCCAAGATGTTTTCTTCCAATTTGCAGATCCAGCAAGCTACCAAGCTTTGTTGTCTGAATGTTGCACCTCAATCAGTGCCAAGATCCTTATTTTCCCAATTGGGTTTGTGCTCACCAACTAGGGTAACTTGGTTGAAGTACTTGTGTTTACTACAAATGTAACTCTCATTAGATCTATCATGCATTTATGTTGCCTTCAATCGAACTTGCATTTTTGGCAAGTCAAGTATTTTAGCGGAATTGATTTCAACACACCATCTGTTTCCACATTTACACGTTATGCTTATATATTTCTGACCATTACATCAAATAGAATAAAGAAAATCAACAAACAAGAACAAGCATGGTATAAAAATGGAGAAAAAAGTGTGTAGAAATTATTTTCTTATTCTAAACTATTCCAAACTACGGGGAGGAAAATTTGAACTTAGATGCAAGTAAGTGGACAAATTGCCTTGATCAACTAACGTAACTCACATATCTTGACTTATTCAAATTAAGCTAAGCCATAAAACATTTTGGACAAATAATCAAATTGAAATCAACATAAAACGATTTAATGAATTAGAGAAAAGCTCATTCTATATCCAACCTAAAATTCCCCCATACATGTACAATTCAAAGGGTACAAACCTATACCCTTTGGTAAGCTTCCCCTTGACAGAGTAACTAGGGAACAAAAGTAAATAGCCTTTCCTTGCCTTGCCTTAAAGCTTGCCATGTTTGGCAAGGGGACTTATCAGCAGAAATTTATTGCCTTGTACAATACTTCTTGATAATTTTCGTTCTAAATCTCATCCATTTTTCGGTCTAAAAGCGCAGTCCGAAGATACTTGGGAAACCATCCTTTTGTTGTGATCAGCTTGTGACGATCCGTGGGATTTTGGGTTGTATGAAGCAAACCTTCCCTGTCTGTGCTTTCTTCTTGAATGTGTTGATTGGGGGATGAAAACTCCAGTTCCTTTGGTTTCTCTTCTGCAGGAATGCTCATACAGAAGGACAGGATGTGCAGGTGGATGGATTGCACAAGAGAAAGCCTGTAAATTCAAAGCACAATTAATCAGTCCCTTCATCTCCCAGATAGAACAAGTATAAAACGATATAAACGCGATCAAGAACACAAAAGTAAACAATCACACACAACGATATTTAACATGGTTACCACACACTCTTTTTCTTCTTCTGCACATCGCTTGGCATATTCATTCCAAATGTGAGGAATAGACAAATAGTGTGCAGAGAGAGAAAAGAGGTTGCGGTAATCAATTTGCATGAATATGAGCTACGTCCACAAGTTGCTACGGTATCCACTATAGAAGAAGAAAAAGATAAACAATACTGCAAATGAAGTGTATACCTGAAGAGAAACTGAAGGGTAAGTTGCAATAGGGTCCTCCTCATCATCCATAATTAGAAGGGAAATTTGCTTAGTTAATTCTGCAAAGAACAAGTCATCCTCTAGTTTCTCCATGGCAACTTCCATGCCTGCAGCTTAATCTAGAACTTGAGTCTTTCTGTGTGATAAGCAAGACTGATCAGTGAAGGATCTTAAAAGTCTCCAAATCTGAAGCTCTCTTGATAAAATCTAAAGGGAATATGTAGGGATTTTAAATAGGGGAAAAGCAAGGGCGGAGGGAAGGGGATGGCTTTGTGCAGCCATGTGGAGTGGTGGGGTCTACGGCGGCAGTTGGCTTATCTGTAATTTAAGTCCCACTGATCCCGCAAGAATCATGTTGTGTGTCATCAAATCATCCAGTTGCCCTATAAGAGCAAGTCCATCTTTAAGGACTTTATGCCAGCATTCTGTGTATTTATCCACTTAAGTGAACAGTAATAGACCAAAACATCTACATCCTTAACAAAAAATAGCCTAGTTCATTTTATTAAAATATTATTTTTTTTTATTATAAAATAATAATTTTTTTTTAATTTCTGAATTTATATAAAATAAAATAATAATAATAATAATAATAATATCTAAATTTATTAAAAAATTTATGTATTTTTTTAAAGTGAAATTCTTAATTTTTTGGGGGAAAAACGTGGACTTTGATCTGTGATCGGATGGTCCATTTTAAAAGTCAAATTTAATTTTTTTTTACCGTTGAAAATCTATCGGTCTACAAAAACTAGCCGTTGGAAATCCAACGGCATACATTTCGCCACGTCGCCCACCCGGGGGTGGGGTGTGAGTGCGCCTGCTAGGTGAGCCCAACCTGTGAACGTCTGTCGGCTACTCGCCATAAAGGCCGCATGAAAGGCACACGCCAGCCCAATTGCCCGATTCCTTGCTCAGTCAAATTTGGGTTGGCCTGGAGACCAGCTTGGGCTGCGTCCCAAGCAAAAGGGTGGGCTGGAGTGGATTGACTGGCTCCCAGCCTGATTTTTGTACTTTGTGCTGGGCTATTCCACCTCCGGTGGACTTGCTCTAAGAGATGAGGAACAGCCGGCAACAACCCACACCCAGATATATCCCAATCCAGGATAGACTCAAAATCCCTTGCAAAACTTGCATACTTGATTGTAAATGACTTCTCTGCCTCTCACATCCATGTCCCTAAAAAGTCCTAGCTTATTGTTCAAGATTCACATACATGTCCACACAAAACAAACATGGTTCATTTGTAGTATTATTTTAAGGATGTAGATAAATTATGAGAAATTGTCATATGCACTCGAGTTGCTAGCAGCTTCTCTTAGTGTAAGAGTCTTACTATTATATTAGTAAAGCGTTTAGTGGCCAACCTATGGAAGAGTTCGCCAACAATTAGAGCATAACTCCTGAATAAATCCAAACTATAAGCATGAAAACGTGTACATTTAATGATACTATATCATAAAATATAAACTAAGTTATCCATCAATTAGATATCATATATATAACGAATCTCTTGTATAAGCAAAAATAAGAAGAAACAAAAAAAAACCAAAACCAAAATGATGGGTTGTTTTTTGAAAATTAAAGGAGAATGATGTGTACGCATGAAAATCAATCACAAACAAGAAGGGTGCATATAGAACCATTTGGTTCACTATGGTTAACATGTTCTCGTTACTAATCCACTTGTGTTTATTGCAGCTTCACTCAACGGAGAAGCCTTACTATTCTATTAGTAAATCATTAATACTCAACTAATGAAAGCTTTCGTTGATAGCTAACAACATCACTTGTTATTGACGTTCTTACACTAACTGAATCCAATTCATAAGTTCGGAAACACATAAATTTAGTAATACTGTACCTTGAAGAGTAAACATACCATCCATCCATATTCAATTAGCCCTCATATGCATATCTTGTATAAGACATTAAATGAAGAAAAAATCAAAACCAAAATGATGGGTTAGTTATTTGAAAATGAAAGGAGCTAGTGTGATGTGTATGCATGAAAATCAATCAACCAAGGGTGCAAATAGCACCAACTGGTTCACTAGGGTTAAGTAACATGTGGGCCGGAATTCATGCCTAGAGAAATAGACTTGTTGGCAGATAAATTTGATCTTTTGTGTGTGCTTGTTTATTCCCACTTCTTCATTCATCTCCCTCCCTTTTCAAGGAACAAACTGTATCAGTCAGTCAATTGCAAGAGCATTAACTGAGTACGATGCATTATTGTTCTCTTTTCTTTCCACTTGCGTGTTTCATTGTATGGTGTTGCTTGGTCCACCTCTTTTTTCCACACGGTTTCATGGCTGGCGTTGGTTGAGCATTAGGGTTGCATGGAGTATCATGACCCCTGAGAAGACCATTGATTGAAGCATAACAAATAGTTATGAAAAGATCTTACCGTCGTGAATTTTGTGATACATCTTTTTGTGTTTACAATATTCATACGATCTAGAATATATTTCTTTGTGTTTGTAGCAATCATCACGTGATATGTAGCAGATAATGAAATTGTAAACATGAAAAATGTACTTGGATGACGCATTAGATTTCTTAACCAACAAAAATCATAGTTTCATGGTTGGCTTTGGTTGAGCTTTAGAGTGACACAGTAGATTTTCTCAATAATACGATGGTGTTTAATTTGGTAATTTACTTCACATGTTTGATTATTATATTAGTTAAACGAGGATTACTAAATTTCCTCATTTCTCGGAGTAGAATGTTGGCTGGTCATAGACTCATAGGCCTCAAATTAATTGGGGATTTTGAACTATTTAATTTGGAAAGACAGCCTCATCCTCAAGCTCCCATGATCTTACTTTTGTTGTGGATAACTTGACAGCTGCGCATTCATACTCTGATTTTTCAATGGTAATCAAGTTTCGGATATTTGGATCTTCTTGGCTGCGAATCAATCATATAAAGCATCTTCAAACTTGTCTTCCAATGGCATCCCTCATATTTTGGAAAATTACACTAGTATCTTCTACCATAGCATGTTTTGGAGTAGTATACTATGTTTAACAGAAAAACTTAAAAAGTGATTCCAGATCTTGAAGCACTTTATGAAGAAACATCTGGAATGTGATTACTCGAGTTACACTTGTATTTTTTGATAAAATTTTCAACATGTTTGTAATAAAAGCACTCTAGCAAAAGCGTTTACAAGCAAAAGAGCCCAAATAAATGAAGTTTTTTCGGAAAAAAACTGCTAGTCGGGGAAGACCTCCACCTCCTAAAGATAAAAGAGACATAGGGCTAAAGGGAGAGCCGAAAAAGGATTCTTACTGAAGCAATTCCAATTCCAAACGGACTAATTCAATCATTAGAATAACCGGAAAACCGTCATTCTTTTTCATCAAAACAATTGTTGAGGGCAACTTGAAACTGTAAAATCTCATTGCTCTCATGGTGATAGTAAAAGATCAATTATCCTTGGAGATAATAATATTCGAAGACAAAATTTACAACTTGGAATGGTTTTCAACCTTGCCTCACCAATTCCGCCTTTTGCTTCAATCGTATTTGGGAGAGAACCTTCAAAAGCTTTGTAACTCCTCTGGTCTTTGATTAGGCCCAGTGAAAAACTCATGCCTCGCCTGCGGTGTCCATATCTGTGATCCCATCAACTCCTTCGAAAATAACACGCAACTTTCTCAGACACGAAGTCTTTTTGTCATTCTTGGTGGTTGTACCAGTCGCATGTACAACATCCTTAGCAACTTTACCCATTAGCTCAAAAAGTGGAAGGCTTAGGTTTGATCTGGTCATCTCTTCCAGTACAGGTGGCGCCTGCATGTACAGATTCTTCCCTCCGTGTGAGATGCTTGCTTTCGATAATAGCAATTTCGGGTGTTCTTCTAGTAGATCGATGAACTGTTGCCATAAGTTGAATTAGAAACTAGAACCCCTTTTTGTTTCTTAAGTTACACGAACCTTTTAAAATAGAAAACAAAACAAGCGGAACTGACATCAAAAGCAACGCCAAGGAACATAAATATCACTACTCGGAAGGTTTTAAAGCGAAGATCAAAAGGATCATAACTAAAACATAGTATAGCATTTGCCTCCTAGACATGCAATAGCTTTCATCCGACGAGCAATAGATTCCGGTTATATCTTAGGAATATAACCACAAAGACTAACATGCAGGACTTCGAAACTTAAACATGAATGTCGCCGAAACTAAATTTTCTCCAAAGATATGTTCACAGAAACCAAATTCTAGCAAATCAAAAGAAATAGAAAATAACCTTTTGCAAAGTAATTGAGGTGTCCAGTTGAACAAGAACACCTGGTCCGCATTCAATACAGTCTTTGTCCCTGACAAATTCAGTCACTTTCGTGTGGAGACCTGCTGCACCATTATACCTACAAAGACTCTGAACACTCGGTAAATATTGAAATCTAACCTTTTGTTACAAGTTTGATTAGATGAAACATGTGCAGCTATTCACTTTAATTTTGAAAATGATGTTCAACAATGACCTAGCATCCAGAGCAAGCTAATTTGACAATGTAAGAAGACATTGGCACTTCTCACAACCTTAGCATTGCAATCTAACTTTTTAGAGATTAATGAAATGCAAACTTGGAGTAAATGCAATTAAGAGTATAGGGGGGATTCATTAATCCTAAACTATTTTGCGGGTGGTCATTCACTAATCCTATACATAGATTTGCAACCATACTGGTCATGACTTATGACATCTAGGACAAGATGATAAGTCGAGTAGTATAGAAGAGGAATGGAACGCACGTTAAATAGTTTGATAGTGTTTTGCTGCATCCAGATGCAATCTTCAATGTCTCTAGTGCACATGCGGCTGATATAATTGCATTTGTGGAAGCAATAGCTGGTATGATGTTCTTCACAACACCCTGTAAACAACGTAATCTGCTTATTAATTAACACCCAAGCCAAACTATGCAGTTAAGTGGCATAAAATCTTAAAACGAAAATAATCTTAGGAGAAACAGACATCTTTAAGTGCATATGCACCTGAGTAAGAGAATATGTGACTCCTGGAATACCGAAAAGCTCAGCTCTCTTGGTAGCCTATTGGATATTAACAACAAAATCCAAGTTAAAATGAACATCAGTATAAACAAAATGTAAATCACTACATAATTGTACTTCACTGACCTCATCATAGACCCACTTCATATGCTCTGGATCATCTGGATCAAAAGCCTTTCCGCTATGTACCTATTTGTAGAATGCATTTTTAGTTGCCATTCCATCAATTCTCTCATGCAACAGTTATAAAGTGTAACGAAAAGTAAAGGGGAAAGAACATTGAAATTTTGCACAATGTATCACCTCATCCCATTTGATTAAATGAGCATATTCAATACAATGAGCAGCAGTTCTTGGGGTTTCTGCAAGGGTGCATAGAGGGAACTTCACTTGAGGGGGAAAAAGCCAGATGGTGCACTCAAAGCATGGAGTGACCCCTGGCATAATGACCCTAGCATGTCCTTGAAAACCTTCAGTCCCTCCATCTACCATAGGCTTGATGGTTTCTTCTTGTGGGCTATCATCAGAATTATACTCTTCCAAAAGAATAACAAATAAAATGCAAAGGGCCACGTTAGCTCAAATATAGTAAAGTAAAAGCAATTCATCATTTCAAGAATGACGCACAAAGGGTAGCAAGGGATAAGGCCAGCCACAACATAAGGATATTACCAGGGGAAAAAAAAAGCCCCAAAATATTGTTATACATATATCCGACACTAGAGACGAAAGTTCAAACCAAAAACTAGACCAATTTTGATACCTTAAAGTTGCAAATGCATATCATAAGGAAGGTAGTGGAGTCAGTTTCTCAAATTTGACAACTTAGACTCTACACCTTAAAGTTGCAAAACGGGACCAGTTTTGGATAGCAAGTTTAATAACCAAAATCTATATCCTCTGCAGGATTTTCTGGGACTATTTTATTCAAATCTGTTCTTTCTGTTCTCATACGAAAATAAACTCTGTAATTATCAATAACCAGAGCAACAAGGAAGGTCAATAATCAGCACCATACAAAGAACAAGTGCAAATATAATTACAGGAACACCAGAAGTCGTATAATACTTTTAATGAATTACACAAATGTAGTAGAGAGACAAAATATGAGAAAAATGGATAGGTTGAAGTACTAACCAAGAAAACTACAAGCAACAGAATTTATGTAGCTCCGAGCCTCAATGGAATCAAGACCGAGGACGATAATACTGAAATCACTATAAAATTCAAGCTCCTTGTCCTCAATCCGGCAAAAATGTGGAACGATATTTACACCACTAACTCTCTCCATGACACGTTTTGCAGCCACCTCAGCCTTTGGCTTGCCTACATCTTCAAGTCTACAACAATAATTTCATGAGGAAAGCACTTTAACAAGAAATTGACATGCCAACTCTCTGTCTTCCCTTGTTTTTCAAATCGATAATACACATAATAGATAGGAAATTACAGTATTTATTAGTAAAATGCAGCAGAAACGGATATCAAAATAGATGATTGCGAAGCAGATAGAATCCTATTATCGAGATGTAAGACATTCAGTAACACACACAAACATGAATGATTCAGGGATAAGTTTACTATTAAGATTAGAAATTCGGGTTTCTCCGAAAACTTCAGCCTATGATCACTTAGTAGAACTAAAGTATTGATAGATTATACAAGTTTTCGATACTCTATAGCTAGTGAAAGACCGCGATAACAGGGCAATAAAAAACATATTCAACAAACTCTCCGATTCAAAAAACAAATACCCATAACAAATTAAAGCAATAGGCACCAAAAAAAATTCAAATAACCTGAAGAGGAACTGGCGATTGAGATTGGAAACCTCGATACGATCCATGTCTATGACTTCGAGCTCCCGAAAGCCAGACAAAGCCAAGTCCTTGAGCAGCTCGCAGCCCAGCCCACCAGCCCCGACCACCAAAACTCTGGCGTACTCTTTGAGGTCATCTCGCAGCTGCAACGAAATCAAAAGTAAGAAACCGACGAAATCGTACAATCGATCGAAAGAGAAGAATGGTAGAGAGAGAGGGAGGGAAAAGGGGGGAAAAGGTTTACTCCGGGGCCGGGTTCGAAGGTGGGTCCGACGAGATTGCCGGCGCGGAGGAGTAGCTTGTCGAGGTCCCTGGATCGGCTGTCTTCGGCGGTAGACGGTGGTGCCATTTTCTGGTCACTGTTTGCTGATGAGAAGAGAAGGCCCGACGTACAAAAGGCGAGAATCTTTCTAATCTTTCTACTTTCACTGAGCGAAGCGGAGTTGTTTTAGAACCCGGGAGAATAGCACATAGGAATCCCTATTTAAATTTTATTATTTATTTTAAAAATCAGTTGTTTTTTTTTTTTTTTTTTTTTGAGTCCCTACAAGATTCGAACCTAAGCTCATTTCCAAATGAAAAAAATATCACCAGACCGTAGTACTTAGTACTTTTTTCGTACTTAACTCTGTGATCTAGTAATATTTTTCGTAACTCATTATCAATAGCTTTACATTATGGGTCTAACTACGTATTTAAATATAAAGTGTAGTGAAAAATGAACAAAGATTTAGAACCCCTAATTCAAATTGAAACCCGAACCTCTAATATAAACAAAGTAGTGAAAAACGAACAAAGGTTGAAACTCGGAAGTTGAAACACACGCAAAAGTAGAAGAAAGTAAGAAAACAGTAATGAGCATTGCTGATGATTCTCAATTTATATTCAAAAAAGCTATTTAATTACATATTTCCAAAGGATTACAGTGCCTGTTTAATAATTAAAAGTAAAAAGAAAAAACCAAACTATAAATTTAAACTTTCATAATTTGATTCAAGAAACCCTTGGAAACCTATAAATTTACACTATCCTCCAAAATGCTGTTCTGGTGTTCCATCAACCCGAAACTCGAAATCCTGACAAAATTGATGATATCTGCCATTTTCTTTCATCTTTTCCCTTCTCCCCTCGGAATCATTGCTGTGCGCATCCAAGCGTTTCTTCCATGCAACATATAAACAGGAGACTTGGTTCAATCATACCTGTGCCCTATAAGTTGAGGAGTTATATGTGCCCATCACCAGCTGCCTTAGGAATAGCGCATAGAGTAGTTCGTTCCATGTATCGGGCACTCCAGGCAGACACCAGTGGCTGCAATCTTGGCGATGGAGAGGTGCAGGGCCAAGTTTAGGACCCTGAAAGTACAAAGACGAATGCCCATCTTTTCTCCGTGCAGTCATTTGAGTTACGTTTAGTATATCAATCTTTGTCGTCTGTGATGCGTTTGGGTGAGCTGAGAGCACAACATTGGCTACCCTGAATTGATCCCATGATTGAGGAGGCACCAATGAGGAACCTAGCTCAGGAAGTGTCTCCGAGTGGCAGTTTCCCCCGGTCTTCCAATCCCCACCTCTGCATTATTCAAGAATACCACTTCAGCTTTTCAAAAAAGATTTGCATATAGCATCTTACTTCACCAGAAAAGATAAAAAACAAGAGATGGATTCATGATCTTGGCGATTGTGAAAATGTACAAACGACAGTATCAATTGTCCAAGGCATCTAGAATATGCTGAACCATTGATAGGATATGCGTTCAATAAAGAAAACCAATCATTTCAAGTTACAAAACGAACCTGAAATGCACAGGAGCATATGTTCGAAAGAAAACTTGAGTCTTGCTTGAATTTACTTGAGTGTCTATCCAGTGCACCACAGTCTCCATGGACTTGTGATACGCATCTTCTACGCTCATTTCCATCTTTACTTGCTCCCCTTCCTGGAAGTAACAACCCCTGAACAAAACATACTGAAACTTTTAATCCTTCCACTTCGAGGAAAATCAGAATGAAAGAAGAAATATTGTGTATAAAACTATAAAACTTAAAACAAGCCCTAAAGTCCAAGTTTCACTGCATCCCCACATATAACAAGTCCTAAAGTCCAAGTCCATCATTTTTGTGATATAACTTACAACACTCCAAACACTCCAGACGGCCATCAGTACAAGTCCTAACACCAATTGCATCAACTTTCGACCAAAACTTGAGGTTGATGTGATGCAATCGTTCAGTATAAAACATTTTTTCAGGTACCATTTACTTTCTTTTAATTAAAACCAAATCTAGAAAGCGAAAAACAAAAGAGAAGAGTTGGGGTGGGTCGGACGAGTTACCTCCCAGCCCCTTCTTAAGACCCTTCATTGAAAATTCCACTAAGGTCGCATACATTGCAGTAAAGGGTTCATGCGAATGCAAACGAGTGAATCTTGTGAAGTAGTCAAATAGGATTGAGATTAAAGATTTACCCTCTTACAGTCTTCTCGTAATTCCACCAGTGCCCTGTGTTGAAGACCAGCACATCTGCATCTCTCCACTTTGCGGAATTCCAATCCATTTGATCCACCTTCAGAGTTGTTCCGACATTTCTTAAAGCCCCAGAAGGAGGACGGCTCTGCAGTACAAGAAATGGAGATCGGTAGTACTCCACAGTACAGTTAAAATCCTTGAATTTGAACACCAAGAATCCTTTGTGCTTAGTAATTGGGTTCCCATTCACTTCATAGATCGATCCTCATTAGGAACTGCGGAAGAGAGCATGCAGAGGAGTGATTCCCACTGGTTTCTTCCAATTGAATCGCCAGCAAACACTAACCGCTTGTTACGCAGTTTTTCCAACATCAACTTGGCATCAAATCTGTTCGTTATCCCCGCAGGAAAAATAATTTTGAGTGTAAAAAATAAAATCACATAAACAATTCTAAAATGTCACCACCAAGCATACACAGAGTTACACAAGGAAGGACAAAATTTAAATAAAAAAAAAATTATAGTCCACATCCAAATAGGAATGACACTAAAATTCAAACTGACGTACTTATCAACGGCACACTCACAGGAAGCCTGAGATGAAACCAAAAAAGTTAATCACTGTCAAGGTGACATTTTACTTTACTTAACCCTGAAAATTACTCCAAATTACGTCGTTGGATTCAAGTTGTTTGGTTGCTGAGAAAATTCAGGAAAACAATCAAACTCTTATCCCTGCAAATTATAGCTGAGACAGTATATAGAGCAAGTCAACTTAAACTATTCAATTCCACAGGTAATTATAAATTATATTCATATAATTTCTCACAATAAAAAGGGAAATCAATGTGACTAAAAAGAAATGACATATTTCAACTCTGATGATTTCTCTTATTTTCCCTCTCTTTCTCAGCAGCCAAACATTCTGAAACCGTAATCGAAAATTACCAAAAACTGAAGAGATTGAAGTACCTGGGCAAGTTGCAGTGCCTGGGCTGCCATCTCCACTTGGTGTAGAACAAATCAGGGCGGCCATTTTCAGAGCACCTAAACCCTTCATCCACAAACCGGCAATCGTTGGACTGATACAGCGGATACGACTCGTCCCACACCCAATCCCCTTCAAACACGTCACAGCCACCACCCTCTTCTCCCAGAAACTCAACCCTCCGGTCCCTGCCCCACCTGTTATTGCTCTGCAGCCACATGAACCGCGCCGATTGGCCCGGGAACCGATACTCTTTGACAACAGCTCTGTAATCCAAGTAAAAGAAGCACAAAATCACACCAACACTGGCAAAGAAGAATCCCATAACGCCCAGGGACGGCTCCAACAGCTTCAAACGCTTCAACTTTTTGAAAGCTTCGAAGAATGGCATGGTTTCTGGGTCGGGTTGAGACGGGTCCTTAGACATTGGAGCTCGGAATCGTATTCTGGGATGTGGGTTTTGCAGTGATCAAGTTTTTAGAGAGAGAAAGAGGAGAGAGAGAGCAGAGAGGTGTAGGGTGGAAGCAAAACATATGCATAAATGGGATTGGAAAATATGTCCTGTCTGGGATTGTGCTTTGATGAGTTGGTTTGTTTGGTAGGTCAGTGATATTTGCTAGTAATGAATGATGCAGAGCTTAAAAAACAAGGGAGATGGGTTGTTAAGGAAGCAAGGAAGCATTCATGGCGGAGGTTATATATATATACTTTGCCTTTTCTCTTCTTACTTTTTGGGAGGGAGAGAGAGAGAGAATCAATTATAATACAGTTTGTGGGTATAATTATACAGAGATATGCTTCTGTTTTAAGAGGATTGATTTTCCAAATGGGCCAAAAACAAAATCCAAAGACTTCAAGTCAGCACTCAGCAGAGAGGATGAAGATAGAGGGGAGAGAGAGAGAGATGGGGTTTAAGGGAGGAGAGAGAAGAGAGGGACCAGCAGAGAATGGACAGGAGTTGTGGCGTTAGTGGGGAGCGAGGGAGGGACCTGGCTTCTTATACACTCTTATCCTTTCTTATTTGTGCGATCACGGTTAAGTCACGTTAATATTTTATATTACTATTATTTTTTGTTTTATTATTAATATAAAAAAATTAATATAAAATGTTGACATGGTTTAATTGTGACCGCACAAAATAGAAGGAGATGAGAGTGTATGGAACGTGAAAGGGCAGAGAAACCGGGTCCGGAGGGAGGGAGAGAGAGAGGGGGGTAACGGATATAGGGCGGCTGCCGTATTTTTAGTGCTAGAACGTGACGTTTTGGAGAGAAGAGGAAGAGAGGGAGACGAAACGTTCTGGGGAGTGTTGTGCACGAGGAGGAGGTGGAGCGTGGGTGAGTTGATCGTATGATAATCCCGACATCACTCTGGCTGTAAAGCGGTCTTAGATATATTTTATTCCCTAATTTTGCCAATTACCACCGTCTTCATTCTTTTTCTCTAAAAATAAAATAAAACAAACTACTTGTTCTTCTCCAATTTCTCTTTATTTTGAAAAATTAATTGTTTTTTTTTTTTTTGAAAAACAATAATTGATTTTTTTTTCTTTTTAAAAAATGAGAACAATTGATGGCAAGTGGTTATCTTGATTCTTTCCGAGCCTAAAAAAATTATGAAAAATTTCACCATGTTCATGACTACAATACTCATCAGCTCAGATCATTTAATTTTTCTCACATTGAAGCGATATTATATCTAACTAATCCAGATTTGGTGGACATAAATGTGAAGTTGGGTGCCGTATGGGTGGGGGTGGGGAACTCCCAACTTGTACTCCTCTTTGCTCTCTTTGTGTTTGCATTTTGAGGAATAAGGCTTATCTGTCTTGACTAGGTTTTCTTTTTCATACTACTAAAACTTATTGACACCATCGAGTTTTATCTAAACTACATATTAATAAAAATCTTTTTGTCAATCAAAAGACGATGAAAATATATATTTTTTTCTTTTATCACAATAAAAAAGTTAAAGACAATAATGTAATTTCACAAAACAATTTTTTGTAACTAATCCAAATTTTTCTCACATTGAAGCGATATTATATCTAACTAATCCAAATTTGGTGGACATAATTGTGAAGTTGGGTGGGAGTGGGAGTGGGAGTGGGGAACTCCCGACTTGTACTCCTCTTTGCTCTCTTTGTGTTTGCATTTTGAGGAATAAGGCTCATCTCTCTTGACTAGGTTTTCTTTTTCGTATTACAAAAACTTATTACCACCGTCAAGTTTTATTTAAACTACATATTAATAAAGTTCTTTTGTCAATCAAAAGAAAATGAAAAGATATGTTTTTTTTTTCTTTTATCACAACAAAAAAGTTAAGAACAATAACGTAATTTCATAAAATAAAATTTTGTTGTTTTTTGTTTAAGCCTCACCCATAGGTGATTCTATTATCTCTAATTTAAGCATCTCTCCCCACTCCCATGTTCTGTCTTTCTCTTCCTCTCTCATTCAATTTTAAAAATGAAAATGAAAATTTTTACACACATTTTATGTGTGGGCATATACTAGTTTTCATAAAAATGACTGAGACTCCACCAAAATATTATAAAATCACTCTACAAATTGACAAAAGACCACTAATTGACAGTAAACAGTTCAACCAAAAAAATTTGTTGTAACCAAAAATATTATACTTACATCTTACATTTCATAAAAGAATCTGAAATAGAATGAGCACAAGCAAAGGCGGACGCACTAAGCTTCTCAGCGGCACAGAGAATTAGTTGACCCTCCGAACTTCGATGGATATTTATAAATAACTTAGATGCTGCTACTTTAAAGGTTGGAGTTGGCCTTCACACAAGCACTCTAACTGTGTGATAAAATGCCTCAAAGAAGAGTTGCTTTTATTATTATTCTTTTAAATATTACCTGGTCAAAACAACATTGTAGACAATTATAACTTCTATTGTTATTTGTTCTATATGTTATGAATGATGGAACTGTGGTTTAATTTTTAAAGTTATCATATGTCTAAAAAATGTTTGTTAACATTTACATGTGATTCTCCGAATAATTTTTCTTGAGTCCGGCGCTAAAGACAAGTGACCCTAATGAAAAGAGAACCTCTAAATTTTGTTGGGGTCATAATAATAAGGTGTACAAATGCAACATACTCTTGGAATATCAAACAGGACCTTAATCAAAAGAGATGTTTACTTTGTGCGATGCTTAGCTCAATCATCAAGACAGTTAGCATATATTCTAAAGATAAGATTAGACTAATATAATCAACTTTCGTGCTTGTTATATCATTTTTCAGGAAAATCAGTTTTGCTATATATTATATGACAATTATTTGACCCCTAGCAATTAGCAAAGAGAACACGACAATTGTTTGGCCTTATTTTTTTCCTACCTTTCTGATAGGTAAGATAAAATGTTTGACAAAAATGGTATGGCAAGTTTTCCCATGGCTACAACTTATTGGATTCTACCTGTGAGAATCCGAAATTTTTTTAATTAGGTTAACTTTCTAATTTATATAGTTAGATTAATATGTATATTGGTCCATATGTTTGAGATTCATTATATATAATGGGGTGTGTTATCCACACACTCCTTTTTACTTCTCCTGCACCCCTTGTTAATTTCTGTCCTTGGATTTTCTTCAATTCATCCGATCCGATGGTCGAAAATTAAAAGGAAATGAGAGGAGTAAAAATGGGTATATGGATATTATATCCCTATATAATATATACTATATACTTTTGACAAAAAGGACAAATACAATATTTTGTTGTTATTAATTTATTGATTTTTATTTGTTTCTTTCTTCTGGATGATAACTCCAATAAGGAGTCCACAATCTCCTTTTCTCAAATCTACTGTAGTCTGAAAAAGGGAGGGGGGGAGGGAGTTTACTCTAGCTTTTTCTCTCTTCGAAAATTACAGAAGCAAAAAATAAGTTTTGTCTTTGGGTCTTCAATTTCATACTTATCTAGAGTCAAATGGAGTAGCCAACAAGTAATTCATGAGGTAAGTTTGTTTTTATTTCTTTATGACTGTACAATTGAGCTTGTGATTTCCATGCCTCTTTCTCTCTTACCATCACATAAGAATTTAAAATCACTAGGTGTGTTATTTTCATTTGCTAGGATTTTCATCTCAATCTCAATCTAGTTACCATGTGGTAGTCAGATGAATCCTCCTCTTACTGCTAGCAATCATGAGGTGTTCAATTTATGTGGCTTGGTGGCTTGTGTCACCTGAGTGTTAGTTCCAAGAGAACTTGCGGAGTCTATGGAAGCAGGAGGAGGAGGTCTAAGTACTGATTTGGTACTGATATGCTTTTATAAAAAGTGGGTATAAAAAAAACTAAGCTCAAAAAGGTGTTGGGTAAACACTTAAAAACAACTTATTTTCACAGTTTTTGGTGGAAAAAAAAAATGAAAACGTGAAAGCAGCAAAAATGAGTTTATTCTCACAGCACAATAGAAACAGTTTTTTTTTTCAAAGCACATCAATACCAAACCAGCCAAGGTGGTGAAGAGTCTAGAGTTAGGCATCATGATTGTTAGGATAAGTAAGAGTTTTTTTTTAGCCGGTTAAAAAAGAAACAAAAACCTGTATAAATAGGGAGTCAGTAGTTCTCTTGAGAATCAACAGTAATAGAAATGCCATACAAAAAGCTTTATAGTTTTAGAAGGCTAGTGAAGGAGAAAGGGTGCTAAGAGTTGAAATAATTTTCTTTTGGTTAGACTTCTCATTCATTTTATTTGATTCATTTTTCTATTTTAGTGGGCTTTGAAGAGGTTGGTTAATCAATTGTCAATCTCTTTCAGCCAAAAACCCCATAATTTTATATTATAAAATGTTCAGTTTTCTCTTTGATTTCAAAATATATTTATGTTCTGTTACTATTTAAAACAGAGAGCTTTCATAAACTCAAAAAGAAAGAGTCTTTTATGTTGAGGTTTTGGTTATGGATTGGTAGGAACGAAGGGATTTCAAGGTGAAATTTTGAAACATGAAACTTTTGAACTAGTCATCTAAGTCAATAAACAAATTTTGGTGTTGGATATGAGTTCTGATTGTAATAATATATTTAGATATTATTGGTGGGTTCGTACAGATATCCAATATTAATTTTGCATAACAAATTTACACCATACAAAAACTTTTAGTTTTAAAACTATTTTACTAGAAAATTGAAAATATGTTTTGTTTGGGTTATTATTATACATACTTATTAAAGTATGTATTCTACAAAGTCTATCTATAATACGAGTTACATTTAAAATTGTGTGCTTAAATAGTGATAGTTTATACTTTGAATAGGAACTCACAAGTTGGACCAAGATACTTGATTAGTTTGGTAGTTATGTGGACTTACATTGTAGCTTCTTGGCACGTACCAGATCTCAGGCCAGCCCCAAAGTGCACAATAATTTAAGGGTAATACGGGACTGGTGAAAGGGAATTAGGCAAGAGCACTAACAAAAGGGAAATATGGTGTTTGGGTTCAGGTTAATGGGTTTGAAGAGAGAAACTTTGTGCATTCATACATATCATTTTTCTAATGTTTTTAAAATAATAATAATAATAATAATAATAATATACTCATGGTTATATATATTTTGAGGTATAATGTCCCTACTGAGCTTTATGCTCACCCTAATTAAATTTGTGCACGTTCGGAACTAGATAATTAAGTCTTGTGCTAAAGATGTTACTTACTATATGATATCTGTAAATAAAAATAAAATAAAGAGCTTGGTGGTGTTTGCACTTTTGTTTGAATAAGGAACAAGAAGCTTTATGTAAATTTATTTAAAGAGTGCTGTGTAAAACTTGAGAATTACCTCTTGGTGAATAAATGTGAATTATGTTTGAACATGTTTATATCTTTTTTTTTTCTTTCTTCACTTTTTGACTATGAATTAATCTATTCTCAAAGATTTTATTTCATATTAAATTGTGAATCATGCTTTAATTGGAGTTTTA